TGTAATAAATCAAGTCAATTCACATAGGGCTGTACTCTAATCTAGGGCTGTGAAACGATAAATCATGATTAATTGCATCCAAAATAAGTTTATTTACATAATATTATGGTTAAAACAGTGTGAGGTGCAAAAGAAAAGGTTTAATAGAACATGAAGTGCAGAGAAGAGCACATAGAAACAAGAATAAGTCTCACGTCTCCACACAAGGAGGGCTTCAGAAGACATGCAGAGGATCTGCTAATCCTCCATTTAAGAGCATGTGGAGGTCCTGAGAAACACTTACAACAGACAAGCATTTAAACAGAACATTACGAAGTATAGTATTGATTATGTTGGCAAAATAGGCAAGTTAACAAATTAACATTAACAAGTGGTCATCGGTGAACATTTTAATTCTTTGAGTTCTTTAGGGTGCACATTGATGAATGGATCTCACCTGAACTTCACCGGTCACTACATGTGTGGAGACCCTCTGTATCTGAAATCTGACTTACTCAGGTGCCTTTATATCCCTAAACAGCTCCTGCAAAAACACAAATCATCAGATCACACACACACACACACACATGCAGTACTCATTCCAATCAAGAGCTCACTGGAGCAAAATCATCAAATTAAGTTAATTAATTAGCGCAACAGAGGGCATTTCTGGAAAATTGGTGTTTAAAAAACACAGAACAGATTGTAAGTGGATCGTTGAACATAAAATAACCACACAAACGATCCGATCTCAGTGATAGAGCTCCCATCAGACCATTTACATCTCAGATCTACAGAGGAAACAGAAAAGTTAACATGATACACCAAATTAAAGAAACCGTAATAATTAAAAAAAATCTGTGTGAAAGCGGATAAAGTGAAATATTTTAAAACACTTAAATATTAAAGCCAAATTAAATGTAGAACAGTCAATAAAAGATGTGCTCATAAATGTCACTTACAAAATGGTGGATGTATTAAAGCACCCGACGATGGAGAAAACTTCAGGAGACTTTAACAGACCAGAAGACTCCACAAGGAGAACCACACACATCAACTAACTTAAAGTAATGCAAGCCAACGACCAGGGCGAAACAGGCTTAAATACACAGATAACAGATCAGGGAAACGAGACACAGCTGGGGTAAATTAACCCAACGACAGGAACCATAGTAACGAACTGGGAGAGAATGGAGACCTGACTAGTTCATTTGGTTCAGCTGTGTTGTGTTAATGAAGACGGTGAAACTGGGATCAAGGAGTGGCACAATTTGATGAAAGCCTAAAAATGCTTCAGAAAGCCTTGGATTACGATCACTACATTTAAATTAGTGATGTTACGTATGACACTGAAGCTTCGATGTGCGCATCACATATTCGACACAATTTCTAGTGAAGCCCCGTATCGGGGTGTGTATTGGTTTTCCCAGAGTCACGTGATCGATGACAAATGAAGCCTCACTTTCTGTCCGATCACGTGCGAGTTTCGCTTTGGGTGTCAGATAGATATCTATGGTCAGAAGGCTCCAGATCTCATTAAACGAGTCAATGTTGCCTCAGTCGGGTGTTTGAGGAGAGTGCTGTTCTTTGAAAGTTAATAAATATAATTAATTAAATAACCAATTCTAGTCTATTCTTTTTTGTTTTGTCTTTTTTTTTTGTAAAATCTTTGCACTTTGGTGGATTTAAGGTAATTTGGTGTTGGTATTTGGATTTACGGTGGGATTAGGAGAGAGGGGATAGAGTGTTGGTGTTTGGCGAAGGGTTTGTATTTAGAGCAATGGCAACAGCCACAAAAAGGAAGACTTCCCCTATCTGGGAACATTTTGAGCTTATAGCCTCCAATGTATGTATGTATGTATGTATGTATGTATGCATATATATATATATATATATATATATATATATATATATATATATATATATATATATATATATATATAAAATTTAATATTTTACGTATTTTATTCTTGTAAGTAATTTATAACTTTAATATAACATTGTTTAGAAGGTTAGATGCTTGGTGTGTGACAAAGAGCTTGTTTATGGAAACAACACATCCTCCATGCTGAGGCATTTCAGAGCTTTACATGAGACTGCACAGCCAGAAAGCCGTGTGAAAGAGTGTTCTCTAAGGCTGGGGAATTACTGTGTAAGAGGAGAAATAGACTCAGCCCCAACACTGTGAAACAGCTTTTATTCCTAAATAAAAATAATTCCAAACTTTATCACATTTCTGCCATTCCTACAGTTACATAAGCACTATCACTGCCAAGTGTCATACATTTAAAAACAGATGATCCTATCAGACAATGTTATATTCATTATGTGTGTGTACACAGAGATAGAGTAGGCCTACATTAAATCTTATTGAATTATATAAGCTTATATTATATTTTATTGCCACACTTTAATGGGAAAATGAATTTATTAAATGAACAAATCAAACACAAACATGTAAGGTTTTTATTTGTATGTACATACACACACACATACACACACTCAGAGCCGCCTCACGTTGCGTCTGCTCTGAGCGCTGCCCGGCAGCACATCTCTCCGGCTCCGGCGTTTGGCCGACTGGTGCGCGCAGTCTCTGGCCCCGTGGAAGGAGCTCGAGCACGCGGTGCAGAAGCGGAAGCGGCAGTCGCTCCAGCTACACACACCCTCGGCGCGCAGCGAGTGACAGCGGGCCGGGTGCTCACAGCGAGGACACGGCTTCAGGTGCTCGTCACTGAACAGGGTTTCTGCCACCTGAGGGTCCACACACACACAGAGAGAGAGAGAGAGAGAGAGAGAGAGAGAGAGAGAGAGAGATCAGTCAACAGGTAACCATTTGGCAAAATTATAGCACGATATTTCAAAAATATTTGCGAAATTGATATTTATGATGATATAGAAGAAAATAAATAGAATTTTATTGATTGTAGCTGGCAGTCAGCAGAATTTATTATTGCAAACAAAATGCATTTTTCACCCTTTTCCAATGAGCTACTGTCATTGACAACACCTAATTTGAAGTGAATCTACTGTCATAAGGTGGCAGTAACAGCATTATGGTGCAATAGTGACAGAGACACAGCATGAGTGAAGTGAAAGCTAAGTAAAAAGTAACCTTGGAACAAGTCACTCGTGTTTTCCCTGTATATTCCCTAAGTAAAAGTATAACATAACTCCTTAACATTTAAATTTAACAATAACTAAAGTAATTTAACCTCGTAACTCTTCTCGAGCCTGCACAATAGTCACCAACTAAAATTGACCAAAAATGTTAAAGTCCCTGTCAATTCTGTTAAAGTCAATTCTACAAAAAATTCTAAACACATTATAAATGTTACAAATGTATTGCTAAAACATATTACAAAGACTATGAACTATGAAGTACTGAATTGTGACCGTTAAACAGTTTTTCCCCCATTGCCAGTTTACAGATTTTTTGGGCGGGACTAAAACAGGGCTTGATGACGCACTGGAGCCCCTGAGCTCGTGGACACGCCCCCACTTGATGACGCACTGAGGCTGATCTCTCCCAAACAATAGAGCACATTCACATCAGTTCGGCGCTCAATACGCTCTATGCACGAACCCTGCTGACGTATGTCCGAAAGAATCTCAGCCAGCTGCTTTACGTCCGCTAGCGCGTTCTGCAGGCAAAGTATATAGAGGCAAAACTTTAATAAAATTAATTTTCTTACAAACAGAGACAACGATTTTAGAAACTGATTCACTAGTCGGATTTCGCATGATATGAGAGAATACTCACCCTCAAAGTTGTTGATGTAGCTCAAAATATATAGAATACATATACATATATATATGAAGAGTTCAGATGCAAAAGCCTCTAAGTGCCATTTGAAATTTTCTTCTAGAATGATCATTTTTATCAAGCTTGTATATTTAAGTTCAGTGATTTCACTTAAATGGCAATGATAATTACCTATTAATTGTTATTTAAGTGAAATTACTGAACTTAAATATACAAGTTTGACAAAAATCATCATTAAAGAAGAAAATTTCAAATGGCATTTAGAGGCTTTTGCATCTGAACTCTTCATATATATAGCACATACATTTCAGTATAATAAAGCATGTAAAGAAAAACTTTAAAAAGACAAACTATACGTAAAAAATAAAGCAACTAGTTTGGTCTTGATTGCAAGATATGTATCAGTATATATAAATATATGGACAATGCATATATTGCAATATATTGGATAATATAAATATAAAATCCTATATATGGAAATATTTTGCCTAATATATTACATGGTATATTCCAATATATTTTTGTTTCGTAAGGGTTGCTCTCTTTCTCTCGGCAGAAAAATATTCTCCGCCGATCGCAAGCAGATAGTTCTGAAATAACTTCTCCCACGCATCAAAAGACAGTTTTGGGTCACCTGGGCATTCCAGGAATGCTACTGGGGGTTGTAGAGAGAGCAGGGCCATCTTAACATGTGTTTAGTGCTGTATGTAAAGGTGACTTGACAGACTACTAGATCTTGCTACTTAATATAATCTCATGGATAGATGTTAGCTATTTGAGCAAACAGTTTGTTTGACACTTGATGCAAATATATTATTTGTTTGTTTTCTGAAAGAGATCATGGATAAACCGATGTAAAATGAGGGTAATTTTGTATTAAGGGGGAATGTGTTTGAAAACTGGGGAAGTGAATGAAATGTTTTGAGAACTGAATGAATGATTTTGGGAAATTGTGCCAACTGACTCGGTTATAGTGTGTTAGCAGTCGAGAAAAAACGTCATCACAAAATGAATGCGTTACTGTTACAGCCATAATATATTCGCATTTATTAATTGATAAATGTAGACCATAGAAGATTGTTTAATGATTTGGATTAATAAAAGACTGAAGTGCTGCAGGACTAGCCCACAGTAAACACTGAAGCGATCCGATTGGCTGCAGGATCAGCAGAGTCCAATCAGCTTGTGCCTTGAGGTGATGATGTGTAAAGGACCTCCCTCTACATGAAAAAAGCTGAAATCAAATGAACACAAGGGAACTGATTCACATAATACTTTATTAGAATGATAAGGATTGAGCAGATAGAGGTGTTTTCCACACGTCATCACATGGGCCGCTCTCGGGGGCGAGTCACGAACTGCCACCACAGCGGAGGAAGATCCCCTTCCCTGCGGGCCGGAGGAAGAGCCTCAGATTTAGGGCCCTCAGCAGGGGTTTCAGCCTGAAGCTGCTGGACCTGCAGAACAAGAAGATACTGGGGTCACTGGGGGGATTCAGCATTACTGGGGTCACTGGGGGGATTCAGCATTACTGGGGTCACTGGGGGGATTCAGCATCACTGGGGGGATTCAGCATTACTGGGGTCACTGGAGGGATTCAGCATTACTGGGGTCACTGGGGGGAATCAGCAATACTGGGGTCACTGGGGGGATTCAGCAATACTGGGGTCACTGGGGGGATTCAGCAATACTGGGGTCACTGGGGGGATTCAGCAATACTGGGGTCACTGGGGGGATTCAGCGATACTGGGGTCACTGGGGGGATTCAGCATTACTGGGGTCACTGGGGGGATTCAGCAATACTGGGGTCACTGGGGGGATTCAGCATTACTGGGGTCACTGGGGGGATTCAGCATTACTGGGGTCACTGGGGGATTCAGCAATACTGGGGTCACTGGGGGGATTCAGCAATACTGGGGTCACTGGGGGGATTCAGCATTACTGGGGTCACTGGGGGATTCAGCATTACTGGGGTCACTGGGGGGATTCAGCATTACTGGGGTCACTGGGGGGATTCAGCATTACTGGGGTCACCGGGGGGATTCAGCATTACTGGGGGGATTCAGCATTACTGGGGTCACTGGCGGGATTTAGCATTACTGGGGGGATTCAGCATTACTGGGGTCACTGGGGGGATTCAGCATTACTGGGGTCACCGGGGGATTCAGCATTACTGGGGTCACTGGGGGGATTCAGCATTACTGGGGTCACTGGGGGATTCAGCGATACTGGGGTCACCGGGGGATTCAGCATTACTGGGGTCACTGGGGGGATTCAGCATTACTGGGGTCACTGGGGGGATTCAGCATTACTGGGGTCACCGGGGGATTCAGCATTACTGGGGTCACTGGGGGGATTCAGCATTACTGGGGTCACTGGGGGGATTCAGCATCACTGGGGGGATTCAGCGATACTGGGGTCACTGGGGGGATTCAGCATCACTGGGGGGATTCAGCATTACTGGGGTCACTGGGGGATTCAGCGATACTGGGGTCACTGGGGGGATTCAGCATTACTGGGGTCACTGGGGGGATTCAGCATTACTGGGGTCACTGGGGGGATTCAGCATCACTGGGGGGATTCAGCATTACTGGGGTCACTGGGGGGATTCAGCGATACTGGGGTCACCGGGGGGATTCAGCATTACTGGGGTCACTGGGGGATTCAGCATTACTAGGGTCACTGGGGGGATTCAGCATTACTGGGGTCACTGGGGGGATTCAGCATTACTAGGGTCAATGGGGGATTCAGCATTACTGGGGTCACTGGGGGGATTCAGCATTACTGGGGTCACTGGGGGGATTCAGCATTACTAGGGTCAATGGGGGGATTCAGCATTACTGGGGTCACTGGGGGGATTCAGCATTACTAGCGTCACTGGGGGGATTCAGCATTACTGGGGTCACTGGGGGGATTCAGCAATACTGGGGTCACTGGGGGGATTCAGCATTACTGGGGTCACTGTGTGGGAATCAACATTACTTATAGGGGTGCACGATTCAGAAAATGTCACGATTCGATACCGATTTTTTGTCTCAAGATTCGATTCAAAATCGATTTTTGATTCAAAAACGATTCTCGATTCAAAAAACGATTCGCAGGTCTACATAAATGTAGTTTACTTTTTCCTATGTGATTGATTGCAGTAGACATAATTTAAAAGAAAAGTTTGATATTACTTTATATGTCTTCATACAAAAATAAAAACTTTTTCAACTAAAAAGTGCGAAGTGCCAAGCTTTGGCCAGCTTTTAAATACATTTAATTCAAGTTTAAAATAAAACTTAAATAAAAAGCTTTTACATTTAGCTTTAAAGTGCTGTAGTCAGATCAAACAAACAATTATGCTAAATGTGGTTTAAGGAGTAGGCCTACTTCAGCTACCAGGTTGACTGTTGAAATGAACTCGACTGGGCACATTGAACTTCCTAAAAATATATAGGCTACTAATTTCATAGAACCCTTGCGAAAATATTTTAAATAGATTTAAAAAAGCCACCGCTACTGGTAACATCTACGGTTAGATTGATTTGTTTAGATCCAGTGAAGTCGTTCATAGGCGCTGTAATTTGCGGGTATCTCCAGTTAACTAGCAGAGCATTCATTTAGGTCGCTATTAAATAAGAGACCTGTTGTTTTTGAAATCAAGCTGAGCGCTCGTGTCCGCTGCGATATACAGTGTTCTCTGTGGCTCGCGCAGTCTTCTCTCGGACGCGCGCTTCAATCTATCGCCGTTGTGGAGACTCCGGTGAAATCACAAAATAAAATGCACACAAACGTGATAAACATACAGAGAGAAAAAACTATACGAGTGCGGTTTAGAACCCGTAACCTCTGACACGCTTGGCAAAAGATCTACAGAACTCAAACATAAGATCTGCGAATGGATGCATTTATTTACGGGTTGAGCAGAGTGGCTGCACAGTTTGACCAGCGGGCGGCAAGAACTTGCAATAACTATTTATCAGACCGGCCCTCGCAGCCTCGAAACCATAGAAACACTACCGGACCACCGGTAAAAGTCCCGACTTACCCGATTGCCACTCCGCCCCTGCACGCCATTAAAAAATATAGCCTATGAATCGATTTTTGGAATTCTATGAATCGATTCTGAATCGGTAAAGATTGAATCGCGATTCAAATGTGAATCGATTTTTTTGCACACCCCAATTACTTAAAGCAATGAATTAATGCAATAAACATGTTTTTTTACAAAGAATTCAAATTGTTTGTGGTCTATATAACCTGTATCAGAATGAGTTACGAAGGCATGGGTTGAAGACCCAGTCACGATACGCAAATCTGTTTACATTCATACCGACGTAATCACCATGACCAAAATTGTCCTGAGTCTAGATCACAACACTGGAGAGCACTATCACTGTTCTTCACGCGCATAGTCACTGAAATGTAAAACTGTTAAAAGAAAAGGCTCAATAAACTATTGCATAGATAGATACTGTATAATACACTATGCATCGACATGCATTTCCTTTGTGCTTCGAACTTTTCAATGCGGACTCGAAGAGCTGCGCGCTGTGACTCGTGTTTCTTCAAGCGCATCATTCAGCGCTCGCGATGTGCATGAGCGCTGTGTGCAGCAGTCTATTGGAGTCTTTCATAATCATTTCATAATACTTTTTGCGCAAAGAAAGATTATTAATAGCATTTTTTGTTCTGTTCTGTCCTTCATAAGTTGCTGCTTCATTAAATGGCTGTGCTATACATTTGTGCTATATTTATTTTCTTAATGTTATAGTAGACTATAAAATAATTGGGCCCCGGAGGGAGGCCCCGGACCCCCCTAGAGGGGTAATATCCTTCTCCTGACCCGTTTTCATGTCTGATAAATACACAGGTGTAAATTCATGATACATTGTATTCTCTTAAATGTAATGCTTAATGTACATTGTTGTTAAATATAGTTTAATAATAATGCTACATGATAAATAGAAGGCTTCAAACAGACTCTGTAATCGGTGATCGGTATCAGGTGATACAGCTTCCAGTAATCCGTGATCAGCCCCAAAAATCCTGATCGGAGAACCCCTAGAGTTTACATATAAAACACCATCTAGAGATAGGAACTTCATATCATTGCTTATGGAAGTGTCCCCAAGTTAAACTTTTTTTGTGAAAGGGTTTTGCATCACAGGTGGTGAAACAATTTCCCAAAATGTCCTAAACTTTGCATATTTACTATTTTCCCTGTAACTTGAACTTTAACTAGATAAGCAAATGTTGATCTTCTGCTTATTACAAGCAAAATTGTAGTCGCTTGCCATTGGAAAGAAACAGAAAGCCCTAGTGTTAAACAAAGTTTACAGAAATTGTCTTATGTTTGGTTTCGGAAAAACTCACATACATTAACGGCAAAACCTGAAAAGTTTTTTTTCAAAGTATGGAATTCCTTATATTTCCCAAATCCCAAATATGTTGTCTGTGTAACCTGGCTGATAATGAACCAATTCTGATATTAAAGTACCACTGTTTTGACATTGTGTATATGCACAGTTGTGGTCAGAAATATTGGCACCCCTTGTAAATATGATCAAAGATGGCAGTAAAAAATAAATCTGCATTGTTTATCCTTTTGAACATTCATTTAAAAAAAAAATCCACAAAAAAAAAAAACGACTTTCGTTGAAATGTAAGAATTGAAAGCGTGTTTCATGGGGGGGGGGGATCACATTATGAAATAATGTATTGCTAGAGTAGCATTGCATTAGAGTAGCATTGCTAGAGTAGTATATCTCTTAAGTATATTCCCATTAATATTTACATTTTTTAACACACCAGGGTGACTAGGGTTCCTCATTTACACTCCTGTGGAATAGAAGTTATGTCTAGACAATTCCATGTTCCTAAAGGCCAAATTCCCTAAATGGAGTAAAACCAAAGAATATAGTTCTGTAGCAAAAAGATTGTTGAGCATCACACAATAGAAAGTGTTGTAAGAAAATTGCTAAAGCATTAAAAATACGCATTTCCACCGTCAGGGCAACAAGCCTACTAAAGATCTACTAAAGATCAACTAAAGATCTACTAAAGATCTACTAAAGATGTTCTGAATCTGCCAGGAAGAGGACGAGTATCTGTATGGTCTTCATGCACAGCGAGGAGCAGACTTTGAATGGCCAAAGTCTCTGATTGGACCCCTGACACGACCCCTGACACGACCCCTGACTAGGGATGGGATGGTATGAACATTTCATATCACGATCATAGTGTCCAAAATTATCGTGATTATCAATATTATCACGGTTTAGTTCAAATGAGATGAAAGTATTAAAAAAGACCTGATCTTCACAGTGAAAACATTTCAACAAGTTTTATTTGAAAATCAACAAACACCAAATAAAGGAGCAGCTCTATGCAGTTTTCCAAGCAAGATTCTATTCTTTGGCATTTCCTTCTTTATATTGACTGGCATCAAAAATAACAACACATTAATACGCAGCGCACATCCATTCACAACGGACGCCAATCGTTTCATTCAAATACAACTTGCCGTCTTGCGTCTCCCGTTTTTGATTGTATTGAAAATTAAATAATTTTTTAAATATTGTTTACAGAGTTTGATAATATTGTTGTGATCATTTTGTCTGGACGATTGTTTTGTACGCTGTACAAAATGGATTTATAATCGTGTAAGATTTAAAACAATCTTAATTCAATATCCCTGTATTTATGTAGTAACAATAAAAAATAAAAAAACACTCTTAATAATAGTCTGGTTTGAAGTTGTTTGTTCGTCTTTGGCTCAAAGCCACTTGCTGTGAACTTTTCTTTGTGAAAGCCTAACGTACAAGTGACAAAATATTTCAACTCAAAACAACATTTTGTGCCCAATTATTTCCCAGACGTAGCTTTGTTATTGAGGTCAAAGTTAACTTGCCTTGTGTTCGGTATGGGCGATGGTGACGGTCGGCAGATCTGCAAGTGTTTCTATTGCAGTGACTTTCTGTTCGGCAGAGGGTGACCATCCTCCATCAAGTTTTCCCAGGACTTTTGTAAAAGCCAAAATATGACCACACCCCTTTCAGAATGTGATTTTCCCCCCACTTTCAATTCTTTTACTTCAATAAAAGGTGAGATTTTTGCAAAGTTTTTTTTAATGAAAGTTCAAAAGGATAAACAATGCATATATATTTTTTACAGCCATCTTTGATCATATTTATCAGGTGTGCCAATATTTCTGAGCACAACTGTATAGTATAGCTGTTAATAGTTTTTGCTTTGTTTTTTTTTTCCTCCTTTTTATTTTTTTCCCCAAAAATCAATAAAGGCAGGTTTAAATATAAATATATCAGCAGTGCCATAAAAAAAAAAAAAAAAAAAAAAAATCAGTTGACCACCATTCTTAAGCTGACAGTTCAGATGGTCTTGTGAACCGGTTAACTTACGTAGCTGAGTTATAGGTTTGCATGTAGAGAGCAATAATTCATTTTGCCTATATATTTCCTTCTGATATTTAAGCATTTTTCCTCAAATATTGGCCTAACCCTGTTTTTTAATAAAGGGCAGCACCTGGTGGGGGTTCAGGATTTGCACACATGTGGAGGGAGACGACAGTGTTCACGGACACCGTAACTTGAGTTGCTTAATGGCTCGTTTCCACTGAGGGGTACAGTCAAGTACGGGTCGGGTCGGTACACCATGATCAGGCTTGCGTTTCCACCACCGACAGTAGTACCCTTACTTGATAGGCGTGTTTGCCGGAAAGAAGCGATCAACGTCATTTTCGCGCGAAGAAAGCGACATAGTAAACACCAATGGATGACAGACAGCAGATCCTGTTCTTGCTTCTCGGCATGTTTGTCACTAGAAACAAGTGCTCGCATCAACGCAAAGCCAACGCAAAGTCCGACTCAGGAGAATGACTCACGAGGACGCGAGTCCAGCACGTTCTTGAACGCGGCACTCGCTCTGCTACTCCGGTTATCTCTGTATGTACATTTTAGGCAACAATAAAACGAAATATGTCATAAAACACCACTCTGCTTCTTTTCAATTTCATTTCAATACATTTTAAACATAAAGCAAACAAATGTGGTTCAGGCAACGCATAGCCTATTGATTATCACTGCATGTATGTAACGTTATATGTATAACAAAACTAAATATAGAACACAACCCTGCCTCTTTTCGTTTAAATTTAAAAATATTAAATATATTCCAGTCAATATGTAATGTGTTGCATTGGTACAAATGTTGCAATAAACAACATTACAGATGATCTTGTAATAAAATAGCCTAAAAAAATTTGTTGAATTTCAGTTTTATCAATAATGGCCATTATAAATGTATAAGTAAAAAGTACAAAAAGATATACAGTAAAGCTTAAATAACATCAAAAAACAATTCAGTCAGTCAAATATAGAAATTCAGCGCTCAAAGATATGAAACTTCACGTAGCCTTCTGCCAAAACTATTGGCCAGGGAACGAATTATAGATTCACGAGACCAAAGATCACCTGTTTATACAAGACGAACTATATCTCATGTTTAACCACTACAGAGATGTCAGAGTCAGCGGCAAACATCAGGATGACTAGCCGAGGAAAAGCTGTCCCAGGCGGGGGACACGAGCGTCCGGTGATCGATTGGAATGAATCTCAGTCAAATTATCATAAATCTATAAATAAACCACAGATTTGATCTTTAAAAAAAACTACTTTCTCGCCTGAAAAACTCTTAAAACTACATTTCGTGACACAATAACAGTAGAATTATATTTCAACTGTATGCTTTATGCCCTTGTAGCACGCGCGAGTGACGATACTCTGTCCACCAATCACCGTTCTGCAGTGAGTCTAGCTCCGCCTTTTAGTACCCTTTCACTGTGCTAGGTACCCCAACGGAAGGGTACCCAAAAAGTGGTACGGTACGGTTCGGCTTTTTGGTACCATTCACAACTTTTGACAGTGGAAACGCAAATAATTGCGTACCGAACCGAACTGTACCGTACCGTACCACTCAGTGGAAACGAGCCATTATTTAATAAACTATTCAGTGATCAATCGAAGCGGACCCAAAGACACTTAAGAGGCTTGGATAAGTGCATATTGGGAAAAAAACATCAAGCTTATCTACTGCTTGATTACCAACATTCTTCAAAATCTCATCTTCGGTGTTCAGCAGAAGAAAGAAACTCGAACAGGGGTGGAACAACTTGATATAAATGATGACAGACGTTTCATAAGACGTTTCAAACTGTCCCTTTAAGAATGCGCATGTAAACAAAGTCAGTGTCGTGTTGATTTTGTCTTGGCTTAGGAGGCATTGCTTAAAAATAATGTTGTGAAATGAATCATTTAAACTAACTGCAATATTTCACAAAAAAATATTTTTAATTTTTTATATAATGACTTATAGATGTAAGTGATGAAGTGGCAAAGGTGTAAAGCATGCGGTGTGATGTGTGTAAGGAGAAGCACCTCTCGATCCCAGCTCTGAGCCCGAAGCTTCTTCCACTGCTCCCTCTTAGCAAAGTAATCCGGATACATGGCTTTCTCCGACGGGTGCCAGTGATCCAGACACCATTCAGGGACCTGGAGAAGAACAGAGAATCAGGAGAACCAGGAGAACAGAGAATCGGGAGAACAGACAATCAGGAGAACAGGGAATCGGGAGAACAGGGAATCAGGAGAACAGAGAACAGACAATTGGGAGAACAGACAATCGGGAGAACAGACAATCGGGAGAACAGACAATCGGGAGAACAGGGAATCAGGAGAACAGGGAACAGACAATTGGGAGAACAGACAATCGGGAGAACAGGGAATCAGGAGAGCAGGGGGGAATCAGGAGAACAGAGAACAGACAATCGGGAGAACAGGGAATTAGGAGAAAAGGGAATCAGGAGAACCAGGATCACAGAGAATCAGGAGAAGAGGGGGGAATCAGGAGAACCAGTAGAACAGAGAACAGACAATCGGGAGAACAGACAATCGGGAGAACAGGGAATCAGGAGAAGAGGGGGGAATCAGGAGAACAGGGAATCAGGAGAACAGGGAATCAGGAGAACAGGGAATCAGGAGAAGAGGGAATCAGGAGAACAGAGAATCAGGAGAACAGGGAATCAGGAGAAGAGGGGGGAATCAGGAGAACAGGGAATCAGGAGAACAGGGAATCAGGAGAACAGAGAATCAGGAGAACAGGGAATCAGGAGAACAGGGAATCAGGAGAAGAGGGGGGAATCAGGAGAGCAGGGGGAATCAGGAGAACAGAGAACAGACAATCAGGAGAACAGGGAATCAGGAGAAGAGGGAATCAGGAGAACCAGGAGAACCAGGATCACAGAGAATCAGGAGAAGAGGGGGGGATCAGGAGAACCAGTAGAACAGAGAACAGACAATCAGGAGAACAGACAATCGGGAGAACAGGGAATCGGGAGAACAGGGAATCAGGAGAACAGGGAATCAGGAGAAGAGGGAATCAGGAGAACAGGGAATCAGGAGAACAGGGAATCAGGAGAACAGGGAATCAGGAGAGCAGGGAATCAGGAGAACAGGGAATCAGGAGAACAGAGAATCAGGAGAAGAGGGAATCAGGAGAACGGGGAATCAGGAGAACAGGGAATCAGGAGAAGAGGGAATCAGGAGAACAGGGAATCAGGAGAAGAGGGCGGAATCAGGAGAACAGGGAATCAGGAGAACAGGGAATCAGGAGAACAGGGAATCAGGAGAACAGAGAATCAGGAGAACAGGGAATCAGGAGAACAGGGCGGAATCAGGAGAACAGGGAATCAGGAGAACAGGGAATCAGGAGAACAGGGAATCAGGAGAGCAGGGCGGAATCAGGAGAACAGGGAATCAGGAGAACAGGGAATCAGGAGAACAGGGAATCAGGAGAGCAGGGAATCAGGAGAACAGGGAATCAGGAGAACAGGGAATCAGGAGAAGAGGGCGGAATCAGGAGAAGAGGGGGGAATCAGGAGAACAGAGAATCAGGAGAACAGGGAATCAGGAGAACAGGGAACAGACAATTGGGAGAACAGACAATCGGGAGAACAGACAATCGGGAAAACAGGGAACAGACAATTGGGAGAACAGACAATCGGGAGAACAGGGAATCGGGAGAACAGGGAATCAGGAGAACAGGGAACAGACAATTGGGAGAACAGACAATCGGGAGAACAGACAATCGGGAGAACAGGGAACAGACAATTGGGAGAACAGACAATCGGGAGAACAGGGAACAGACAATTGGGAGAACAGACAATCGGGAGAACAGGGAACAGACAATTGGGAGAACAGACAATCGGGAGAACAGGGAATCGGGAGAACAGGGAATCAGGAGAGCAGGGGGGAATCAGGAGAACAGGGAACAGACAATTGGGAGAACAGACAATCGGGAGAACAGGGAATCGGGAGAACAGGGAATCAGGAGAGCAGGGGGGAATCAGGAGAACAGGGAACAGACAATTGGGAGAACAGACAATCGGGAGAACAGGGAATCGGGAGAACAGGGAATCAGGAGAGCAGGGGGGAATCAGGAGAACAGAGAACAGACAATCGGGAGAACAGGGAATTAGGAGAAAAGGGAATCAGGAGAACCAGGAGAACCAGGATCACAGAGAATCAGGAGAAGAGGGGGGAATCAGGAGAACCAGTAGAACAGAGAACAGACAATCGGGAGAACAGACAATCGGGAGAACAGGGAATCAGGAGAAGAGGGGGGAATCAGGAGAACAGGGAATCAGGAGAAGAGGGGGGAATCAGGAGAGCAGGGGGGAATCAGGAGAACAGAGAACAGACAATCAGGAGAACAGGGAATCTGGAGAAGAGGGAATCAGGAGAACCAGGATCACAGAGAATCAGGAGAAGAGGGGGGAATCAGGAGAACCAGTAGAACAGAGAACAGACAATCAGGAGAACAGACAATCGGGAGAACAGGGAATCAGGAGAACAGGGAATCAGGAGAAGAGGGAATCAGGAGAACAGGGAATCAGAGGAAACAGGGAATCAGGAGAGCAGGGAATCAGGAGAGCAGGGAATCAGGAGAACAGGGAATCAGGAGAACAGAGAATCAGGAGAACAGGGAATCAGGAGAACAGGGAATCAGGAGAACAGGGAATCAGGAGAACAGGGAATCAGGAGAGCAGGGAATCAGGAGAACAGGGAATCAGGAGAACAGGGAATCAGGAGAACAGGGAATCAGGAGAACAGAGAATCAGGAGAAGAGGGAATCAGGAGAACAGGGAATCAGGAGAACAGGGAATCAGGAGAACAGGGAATCAGGAGAAGAGGGCGGAATCAGGAGAAGAGGGGGGAATCAGGAGAACAGGGAATCAGGAGAAGAGGGGGGAATCAGGAGAGCAGGGAATCAGGAGAGCAGGGAATCAGGAGAACAGGGAATCAGGAGAACAGGGAATCAGGAGAAGAGGGGGGAATCAGGAGAGCAGGGAATCAGGAGAGCAGGGAATCAGGAGAACAGGGAATCAGGAGAACAGGGAATCAGGAGAACAGGGAATCAGGAGAAGAGGGAATCAGGAGAGCAGGGAATCAGGAGAACAGGGAATCAGGAGAAGAGGGAATCAGGAGAACAGGGAATCAGGAGAGCAGGGAATCAGGAGAACAGGGAATCAGGAGAACAGGGAATCAGGAGAAGAGGGCGGAATCAGGAGAAGAGGGGGGAATCAGGAGAAGAGGGGGAATTAGGAGAAGAGGGGGGAATCAGGAGAGCAGGGAATCAGGAGAGCAGGGAATCAGGAGAACAGGGAATCAGGAGAACAGGGAATCAGGAGAGCAGGGAATCAGGAGAGCAGGGAATCAGGAGAACAGGGAATCAGGAGAACAGGGAATCAGGAGAAGAGGGCGGAATCAGGAGAAGAGGGGGGAATCAGGAGAACAGAGAATCAGGAGAACAGAGAATCAGGAGAAGAGGGAATCAGGAGAACAGGGAATCAGGAGAACAGGGAATCAGGAGAAGAGGGCGGAATCAGGAGAACAGAGAATCAGGAGAACAGAGAACAGACAATCAGGAGAACAGGGAATCAGGAGAAGAGGGGGGAATCAGGAGAACAGAGAATCAGGAGAACAGGGAATTGGGAGAACAGGGAATCAGGAGAACAGGGAAAACAGTTAGATCGGGAATAGTAGATCATCCGGGGACTTCCGGCATGCTCTCAACACACTGTGCCTTTTTAAGTTTGAGACACTCCACGCATGACCGTTCATGAGCATCAGCATTTGCTGTGAACGGAGTCGCTCTGAGATGCGTGGCCTACACATGTACATGATCACAGCGCATGTATATTAAACATGCAGGACATTTATTTAATTGATTTCACAATAGACCTATGCTATAGTAAGGTTTTAAATGGTTTTAATACACTGTGCAGTCAAATAATGCGGTTCATGGATTCTCATCGATGGAACGTGCCACTTCCCGTATTATGCCGGTTACTAGACACAGGTAAATTGCAATCGAGGATTTTTAAAAATCGAGTACCCTACTTTCAAGACATTTGTCTCCCACTGGTAATTAGACCAACACATATTCCTCTGCAGAACCTCTCCACAGTAAACCTTGTAGCACTCGTAGCGAGTCGTTAGCCCAGTCACCCACCTTGTAGCGCTCGTAGTGCTCATAGCACTCGTAGCGTTAGCCCGGTCACCCACCTTGTAGCACTCGTAGCGCTCGTAGGACGTGCCTCCAGGGGAGTCGGGGAACAGGTAGGGCTGCGGGTGCTGGTGGGTCCAGAACTCCTCTTCTCCTGCCTTCAGCATCAGCGTGGCCTTCACCAGGTCCTTCTCATGCTTATTCTCATCGAAGCGTGCTCGCATCAGACACGCGTAGAACCGATATTTATCCCTGAAAGAGAACAGAAACTTTATTGATACAATTTACACACAAACAATTATCCGTATTTTTGCCTGTTTCATTAATTTCCTATGGTGGCCTTTTAACCATGAAGACCACAAGTGTGACTTTTTACCACCACTTGGACTTTTCAAATCATGCCCAACTTTTTTGTGTGTTCGTGTACGAGTTTCATACCATACCTAACTTCAAACATGTACAATTTGTTGGTCAAAAGTGACAGAAGAGCACCGTTTGCCAATTTGGGAGAAACTAAAAAAAAATGAGGGTCTCAACTCCTACATTTTTGCCAGTATTTCACAAAGCATTTTATCGCTAAAACCATCAAAATCTGTAAAACATTAGTAGTCGTGAGTCCCTCAGACCAAATCACAAACAATCCTAATGGCTGTTGCTGCAATTCGCCCGAAGACGCTGAACACCAGTGATAGGGCCTTGGGTGCTGAACCTTTTCTTCATAAATGCAATACATATTTTAATGCAATACATACATGATAAATTGTTAATAAATCGAGATAAAACAGGGGCCGAGATTTTCTGTCAAAAAATCATAACGCTCGAACATTTTATTCTGACGCTGAATTTCATCTCCTAATGTCTCAACGGTTCACCGGTCAGAAATAAGATTGTCTAGTGGGCTGGGTAAAAAATATTGATTTCTCGATATTAATCGATTCTCATTTTTACGAACCGATATCGATTCTTAAATCTCAAGAATCGATTAGTCATCCTGTTTTCATTTGATGGATGAATGGAACATTATAGAGCGCATCCCATCCAATAAATCGCAATGATCTTTGTGACTATTATTATGAAATAAAGTCTCAAATTTCGAATTGCGTCCATTTTCTTATGAAATTCAAAAACATAAAGAGCGTTTTGTCAAGAGAAGCTGCACATGATCTCCTCTTCCGGCTTAATAATACCAGTCACAGCGCCGAATAAACATGAGTGAACGTCTGAACATCCAAATCCGTATCATGTCACATGGAATCGCTCAATCAGTGTTTCCCCCGTGCAAAGACGTCAGTTAAACAGCTTGTAAACGTCACATTGACCTCAGAAAAACAATGTGACCTAAACTTAGTCAGTTAGTCAGCTAGAAAACTAACTCTAGAGAGGAGAATTTTGTATGCACCATATTACATATTCATTATAATTTTTAATGTTATTCAATATTTAATGCATGCATGTTTGACTAAATCACTGTTTTGTTTATATACTCATTATGAATTTGAGTGATTCCACTAATTTCTGCAGTGCAATAGTTCATGGGAAGTGTTTTCAATGTCTGTTTCTCCATCAGCTACATCTACTGGGCCGACTGGAACAGGGACTAAAATTGAGATGGCTTACATGGACGGCACAAATCGGAGGGTCCTGGTCAAGGATGACTTGAGCCTCCCCAACGGTTTAACCTACGACCCTCGGACGTCTCTGCTGTGCTGGGCGGATGCCGGTATGGCTCCAGTTCAGAGAAACATTAGGGGCTTTCACACTGGAGAAACCTTTTCATAGGTCTAGGTCACGGTCGTTCTGCGTGGGAGGAAGAGTTAACAGATTTCGACGAATGTGGGCAAGTTTGTAGATTCTGTCCAAAATGTTACGAACATTAAAATGATACGAACGTGGTAAACTTTGGTTAAGTAAACATTAAATAGGATCATTGTGGTGAGAAAGGATAAAACAGTGATCAAGTCGATATCATGTGCATGGTTTTGGACCGAAAGCAGTGTCGTGTTCATAACGATCATGCATGAATGGTGGTTGTATACATTTTGACAGATTCTGCACTTCATGTTCGTAAATTGGACAGAAATGTTGAGGATATCCAACTTCGAACGTTGTTTTCCGCGTATTTTGACTCAATAAGCTTTTCGTGAAAGTCAACATCATCAATGACATTTTTTGATGATGATGATGATTTTATTTTCTGTCAAAATGTTAGTAAGAATTTAGGGTAGGCTGTCCAAGTTAACACGTTAATAGTGCGTTAACACAATATCACTTATGCCATTAGAATAGTCTGTCGGCGTCAAGCGCAGGTTGTTAAACAACAGTGAACTGGGCATGTAAGGCACACACGCAGATTTTCCGCACTAATGGCACACATTAAGCTAGTTTAAACATTAGCTTGTGGTAAAAAAATTGTCAATAAAATGTCACATAATAATAATTTTACATCCGTTGAATTCTGCTACACTAAAAAATTAAGATATAAAGTGCAATGTTAATGTGCAAACGAACTAACCTCATGCAAGCAAACTTTTAACAAACCTGTGGCCTCATTTATAAAACTTTGCGTAGGATTTGCGTCAGAAGTGGCGTACGGATGAAACATAGGACGTGCGTACGCACAGAAATATTCGGATTTATAAAACCGTGCGCACGCACATCCTACGCATTTTTCCCTTCATAAATCACAATCAGTTCTAAATGTAGCGCAGTTTTTGCGGCTTCATGTCAGGCCCATAGTTGCCCATAAATAGTCCGTGAAACGCCCAAAAGTTAATATTCATCGATTGCGAAATCATGTTAAACAGAGAGAAGAAATTAAAAAAAAAATGCAACTTCACTCAATGTGAAGTAGAAGTTATCGTTGGCAAGGTGGAAAAGAGGAGAAAAATGTTTGGAGGGCACAGTGGGCATTACTAAGTGCCACTTGAGTGGCAAAAGGTTGCAGATGCCGTAAATGCTGTAGCCTCACAACCTCGGACTGTGGCCGAAATAAAAAAGAAATGGTCGGACATCAAAGTCGAGGCAAAAAAAGCATCTAGTCATTAATTCAAGAGGTGGCCGAGGAGTTGGGCGAAATCAAGACTGTGCTAACTGAAATAAACTGCATAATAAACTGCATAATTCTTGAATAAATAATATATTTTTCCACACCTTTTGTTGTGAAGATGATGCGTTCACTCCGAATCCTTCCATTTAATCGCCACATCTTCTAAGAGCTCAAGATCAGCCACTGTGCGTCATTATACGCATTGTAATGGGGCATTTTATTTACATCCATTTAATTCTGCATCTGATAAGCTACGGATGTCGGTTATAATCTACTTGGAAATGGGAAATAGTTCAGCGCAAATGTAATTTTTTGCAGCTTTCTGAATGGTTGAGACACGTCATACGTTATTTTATCAAAAATAAAACAAACTAAATGCATATACCAAGACATTTTTACTATGAAAACAACTTTTCCCAGTTGAAAAATAATATTTATCGATCTATCTATATATCTCCCTAATTATCTATCTATCTGACTGACTATCTAATTGCTATATCTGCTCCGTTAGATAGACATATTGGCGAGAATATTAGTTTTGTACATTATTTCGTTCTGTTTACCATCTTATTTATGAGGATGAATTGCATACCAATATTATAGCAGAAAATATTTCACTTTCTTTTTGGAAATATGTGTTAATTTGCATTTCTGTTACAGATCGATCAAACGGGTGTTCGTGTAGGCTGTTAATTGTAAGCTGTTAAGACTTGCTTTGTGAAGTATTCGTGTTATTTATGAGAGGCGTATTGCAGTTTATTTTACACAACCGTCTACAGTTTCACACACTTTCACGTGTTTTTCCATCTGCCGACGGTGTCACCATTTCTCATTTCACCCGTTTTTGTGCGTACGCCTGGGTCAGAGCTTGCGTGAAGGACCGCACATTTTACCGTCAAGTTTGTTTTTTATAAATACCAACTATTGCGTAGAGAGCGGCGTACGCCTTCTTTTGTGCGTACGCAACGTTTATAAATGAGGCCCCTGATTACAATAAATAAAACATAATCTCCCTATTTGTTGTGTTATTATTATTATTTCGGTAATTCTGACTACATGTTCTGAAAAAATTAATATTGCCAATATTAATTGTCAATAATGACAAAAAAGACATTAAAGACAATTAATGACACATGTGAAAAAAATGGTACATGCTGTCTTTAAATAAATGCACAAAAAATATATAAAAATGATGAAGCTGTCATTTTATGCATATTCATAAAGTCAAAGGGTAATCTAATAATGTGGTTTAAGTTTAAATGTTAGAAAAATAAATCAATTTTTAGACATTGTGCCATACCAAAAGTGGATGTTTCTGTACAATGAGCTGATAGTTTTGTGTATTATTTCTCCCAATCATATTTAGCACACCAAGCCTAATAAAAGGTGTAACAGAGGCAATCTTGCAGGATTGTTTTTTTTTCCGTCCACGTTACACACCTTATAACTTTGCACACTTAGGAGTTCCTTTGTCTTCTACATTTGGCAAATAAATATACCTGTGGTATTTGTTAGTAATTTGCTGGCTTTAAGTTTATGAACATACCAGACTCAAAAATGCACCTTTAAGTTTATAGAACGGATCATATTAGATGGCCACCCTGCCTGCATGGAAGTCATATTGCAGTTTTGTGCACAATGCACATCGCATGACTCATAACTACACCAAATTAGGAACAAAGCAAAACATGAAATTGGATTCAACCAGAATTTTATTAAATTGAATTAGATTAAGTACACTTGAACTTACACCGTTTTTCCATCCATGTTACACACGTTAAATTTTACATCAACTCAACTTTGATCAAAGTTTACAAGTTTAACATTGCCAGATTTATCCTGCCTTTCACACAGCTGTATCCCAGGTTGTCTCAGGATGTTAACCTGAGGACAATGGCTTTCTGCATGAAGATTTAATTTTGCAGGCTGTTGTCCTTGCAGTTACGCCTAAACTGTGGAATCGCCTCATACAATATACTGTCAAACTCATTACATGAGAAATTATATAAAAAATTCACAGACAAATGTTACATTCATGGCACAATAATTATTTTCTCTCATTCAGTTGCATTGACGCTTTTTCGACCTTTAAATATAAACGTATGGGCGGGACTTACCAGCTCTATACTCGTAATGAAATGCTTTTGTCACACAGTATTACAGTATTTCCTGTCAAAGTGTCACACACACCGTTTTAAAAGCAACACATATTTATCCAACCCCTTTTTAAAACAGGCTGTGTGCTCTATCTTTTGGACATTCATTATATCGCATTGGTTTTATACCTTTATACCTTTTTGCAGTTTTTTTTCCTCCTTTTGTATTTAATTATGAGGTACAAATACTTCATTTTGGTGACCTTTTATGCACTAATTTGTGCTGGTTTAGCTTGTCTGCTGGTTAACGAGCATGCTTTTTGATGGACCTAAAATATTTTATTATAATTTTTTAATAAATTAATAATTATAATAAATTTAATAATAATTAATAATTTTAATAAATTTAATAATTTATTTTATTATACGTTTATATGGCTATTATATTGTAGACCATTGAGTTGATAAAGTATAGAAATATTTTTAATACAAAACTAAATATATATATATATATATATATATATATATATATATAAAGTCCTCCTCTAGGGGCGTCCGGGGGCACATGAGAAAATATTTAATAATCCATACTTTAAAGCATCAATCTGATGCATTTTGAGATGCGTTTTTTGCCATCTATCTATACAATAGTTTATTGAACCTTTTCTTTAAACAGTTAAATTTCAGTTATTGTGCGTGTGAAGAATGATAGTGCTCTCCTGTGTCATAGTCATTTTATGCGAAACCATAGAGCTTTATCTACAGGTCAAGCATAATAACAGTAACAGTGAATCATCTTGGAGAGAGTTTCATCATGTTAACTGTCGTAACCGAGCGCGACGCGTTTGACGCTGAATAGAAGATCAATGTCAGACAGCCGCAGCGGAGGGAAAAATTTACGTGAACTTGAATTTAATGACTTAAAAATAATTTGATTTTTTTTGTCGATTGATTTCATAAATCAGATTTATTACTTATCCTAAACTACAACGAGTCGAGTAAGATCATTCCCCTTAATGGAATCGATTCCAACCTTTGCATTTTGAACCTTTGGAATCGACTCTCAATTCCCAACGCCTTGGAATCGAATCTTTTTGGACTCGCCCCCAGTCCTATCATTCAGAGGCGAAGCTTCTTCACCGATGCTTTGAAAAGTGAAGAGAGTCGACTCGAGAACTCTCTCTGAACTGCACGTGCGGCACACACACACACACATACGCGTCCAGCTACAATAATCATATTAATTTCAAACAGCAACCCAGAATATTTGTCACAAGCATTGATTAAAACAATGATGACAATAATCACGTAAAAAAACGACTTAAATTCTGGCAGTGAGGGGGGTTCGTTCGACCTTTCGTTCGTTTTTTACTCTGAGGAGTTTGCAGGTCAGATTGTGATTTTAGACTTATGTTTACATTTTTATTATTTCAGTTTTCCATGGTTATGTTGACATTTCTGTCTTGAGATTATAATCAGAGGAAGGTCAAGTTTAAAATAAAAATGTTTAAAATGTAATATATTTTTCTCCTGGTCCTTATTTTAAATGGGTCATAAAAAAATGATCAATAATTATCGATATCGACCGATATGAAACACTGATATCGTGATACAGTTTTGAGCCGTATCGCCCAGCCCTAGTCTAGAAATCTCCAAATTCAAAAATAATTTCACATTTCTTCTACATAAATTACCCATTTTAAATACACATTCATCTTTCCAGAGGTGGAGTGACCCTTTAATAGCAAATAATTTATCTTAGGGTCGGGTTTTATTTATATCATTTTATTTATTGTGTTTGATATTTATTATTGATATTTATGCATTATTTTGTAAACAGAGACATTGCTTTTATTGTTTTTGGTTGTTTTGTTCATTTATTTTGGATATTTAAAATGTTTTCCATTTTCATTGTTAAATAGTCTTTAGAAATAAATGTTAATGGATCTTTGAAAAGGTGTACCTGCATTATTATGCCATTATCATTATTTTAGATGTAATTGGTCTCAGAATGCCAATATCAACGTTTATTGCAATAATTTCTTGGACACTTTATCGTCCAGCTAAATTTGTTATCGTGACAGTGAGAAACTCATCTGAGATCCCAAACAACGAGGAGTCATATCAACACAACACGAAGTTAGAACGACGAAATAAACCACTGCTCTGAACATGAGAAACTGAATTGGATTGTATACAGTTTGATCAAAGCGATCTTCATCAAATAAATGCATCTGGGTCTTTTAATGTCACTTCACATCGAGCAAATGTGCAGGAAAGGTCATGTAGTTCGTACTTAACCAAACAGGAGTTAGCATGAGATCGAACACAGTGTTTATGTTCACAGATCGGCCGATAAACACGGATTCAAATATACACACCTGCAATTAGCATTTATAAAGCTAACCCTCACCTGAAGATGCACCAGGACTCGAGGTGTCTCAGGGATTTCTTGTAGAGCCGCAGGACCTTCTGCTGGTGGGTCAGATAGGCGGCCGCCATCTTGCACTGTTAGTCGCTGCGGTACTGCGCATGCGCGTGAGAACCCGACATCCGAATCTTTAGTATCGAATCAGTGATTTGGGAATCGGGTGGATTGAACCTGTGGTGAATTCAGAACCGCGTACTAGCACAATATTATTTCTGTCAAAGAAAGATATTGTAAAAGTAGTAAGTGTAGTATTCAGCACTGGTTATTATGGTTATCCTGAATTTAAAACATTTAGTTTATCAGTTCATTAAAAAAAATCGTACCTCCTGTTTTATTTAGGCTATTAACTGTTACTGACGAATTTGCAAAACAAGTTTTACTCGTATGTTAAATCTGTGTAATCCTAGATTTAATAGTAATTTATGCGCAATTCTGATACATACATTTTAAAACTGTTTAAAACTATAATTTGTTATAGTTAATAAAAGTCAATTTATGCTAGGCTATAAATTAAAAGACTGTTGATGATTGATCTTTAATGGTATTTACTGATATTATAGACGACGTTACTTACACCATACAGTGTATATATTATATATATTAAATTATTATATATATATATATTATCTCTGAATTAACCATATATGAGCTTACAAAGCCTGTTTTTTCTATGCATATCCTCATTTGCATCTCATTTGCATATGCATATTCATCCACACTATTGCATGTTTAACGGTACAAGACATTAGGAAAATATGAGATTCGGATGTGCGTCACATTACATTGCTAAAAATAATTTAGTAGCTTATCTTTGCCTTGTTTCTTATGGAAGCTTGTTTCCGCCACTGAATAAAAAAATAAAATAAATAATTGCGACTTTTTATCTCACAATTCTGACTTTTTTTCTCACAATTGCGAGATAAAAAGTCCGAATTGCGTGATATAAAGTCGCAATTGCGAGTTATAAAGTCAGAATTGCGAGATAAAAAGTCAGAATTGCGAGATATAAAGTCGCAATTGCGAGTTATAAAGTCAGAATTGCGAGATAAAAAGCCAGAATTGCGTGATATAAAGTCGCAAAGCGAGTTATAAAGTCAGAATTGTGAGATTTAAACTATTCTGAGGGGGGGGGAAGTTCCCCTTAGAATTGGCCTAATAAGTCGCAATTGCGAGTTTATATCTCACAATTCTGAGAAAAGATGTCAGAATTTCGACATATAAACTCGCAATTGTGAGAAAAAAAGTCACACTTCTGTCTTTTTTTCTCAGAATTGCGACTTTATATCACACAATTCTGACTTTATATCTCGCAATTCTGACTTTATATCTCGCAATTCTGACTTTATATCTCGCAATTCTGACTTTGTAACACAATTCTGACTTTATAACTCGCAATTGCGACTTTATATCACGCAATTCTGAGAAATAAAGTCAAAATTGTGAGATATAAACTCGCAATTGTGAGAAAAAAAGTCAGAATTGTGAGAAAAAAAGTCAGAATTGTTAGATAAAAAGTCACAATTCTTTATTATATTTTTTATTCAATGGCGGAAACATGCTTCCATACATTACTGATCATTATTTGTGTGAAAATATTTTCTCAGTCCATGAGTTTTGCTATTATCATGCACTAAGCAAACGTTAAAACACAGCATGCCACAGGAAAAGTGTTCATAAGCAGTGCATACGCTACTAATGTTTCTATTTATTAGAGTAATGTATGACAGGAGAGCGCATGTGGTTGACCTGAACCGGCTTTGCTTGTGTGTGCCTGTGCATTTCAGATGGTGACGCAGTAGCGCCTCACAGCGTTCACTCATTACATTACAACATGTTCTTGTAAGATGAGGTAGGAGCGAAGCGGAGAGAGAACCTGGTTTCCCCATAATCCAGAGGAATCAACGGACCACGGACCTCAGGACAGGAACATATAACAGCTACAAGCAAACAATTCACAAATGACAAGACACATGGCAGGATCACATGACAAACACGGAAACAGCTGACAGTCAAGACAAAACCCACACCGCGACAGTTCTCATCATGGCCTACATCACAAATTAGAATATAAAAAATGTTGTAACTTCTCTGCAATGATTTCATATATTGTAAGTGCTTAACTCCATTAATGAGAATTGTACATTTAATCTAAATGTGTATATCAGATGTGAAACAGAGTTTAAATCATTCTTTTATTTATATAAACTGTTATTGTGAACATGCACTGTATTTATGATTATGATTCATAATGAATATTAGGTGGTTTTCCTTCATCAGTCCCTCAGATCTCCACCTCCAGATGTTCGTACGTTCTCCCGTCAAGTGTGTGTTTAATAGATCATAACCTGTGTGTGTGTATGACCGAGGCTCTGGTCTGTGTGTTGAGTGTGACCTTGACCTGGAGAACTCAACAGACGAGGGAGACAGAAAAGACGAAACAACGGAGCTCAAAAGTCAAGTCAAGTATATTTATAATATAGCGCTTTTCACAATATAGCAGCAAAAGGAGCGAAAGTAGGAATGAGAGGCTAGTGTACATGAAAAAGTAGAGGAAAAAAAACTTAGACAAAGAAAAGGACAGGGAAAATAAGACAAGACGAAGACTAGAGCTATGAATGTAACTACATCAGGGTTAACGCCGTCCTCAGACGAGAGCCAGGATAAAGAAGAGGAATAATGATATAATGAGGTAACGAGAGGGACGGTGTAACATGTGACAGCACACACACACACACACACACATCCACGCGCACACTAATGTCAGCACTTTGTTTCTCAGTCTTGTCTCAGACTCAGACTAAGATGACTCTGGATTGTATCCCACAGGACCAGGACTTGTATTGCTGTGGCCATTCCATACCGAGTCCAGCAACGCCGCGGCTGAAAACAGGAGACCGTCACCAATCGGAGTGCTGACAGCTGATATTCATATTTTGTTTGCTTTAATTTTAAATCATGGTTTTAAGGAAGCAATATTCATCATCTTATGTGTCAGGATCCCATCCCTTTATGCATTATTAAGCTCGTCATGAAAGTGAAGTGCTACTGGACGTACATCCGAGTGAAACGCTCCTGAAACGAGAACACATGTGGGCGGGGCTTGATTCTGTCAGGGGGAATTGATTGGATGGCTGTGGCCCAGTAACGGCTGCGATCTCATGTGAGTGACAGGCCGAGTGAGTGAATGGCATGGACAGTAAAAGAAATGGACACAGCGACCCCGTAGATCTCAACGGAGAAAGTTGAAGCCCATTAGAAGCACTCACGTCCTGATAGCCGAGCGCACTGCGCAGTCTCACACTGAGCTGGACGACGTAGAGGAGCTGTGCCGAGACTAATCTGAACTGAAATCTGAAACAAATCTGTTGTTGAGATATTTTGTACCGTTGCTTTAATGAACTCTCCATCTATGGGCTTTTCCCTTGACTTTATGCCTCCGTGTCCCCCGATTGCCTCATAGACAGTAAAAGATTGGCTCCTCCTGCCTAAACGGTAATTTCTCAACTGTACGACAGAGAGTGCCGTGGTTATGACACAATTGTTAGCCTATTTTTTACAAAAATGGCTTCTACAGGGCCATAACCTTAGATACAAAGTAATGGGGCCTTTTATACGTTGTCCTGTTTCTGAAGAAATAAATAATGGACAAATGGAGTCTTTGGATGTAAAATTATCAGATGTATATATCAGATGAAAGATGTAAAATTATTCGCTGTCAAAATGCCACCAAAGTCAATGGGATGCTAACAGCAGGAGATGGTCTGCTACAAAGCGAAGCTTCAGTTTCCGGCTGGTGGATTACACCCTTGGTGAAAAATTTACATAAGCATTCTTGGATAGTCAAATAAATAAATTAATTATCTTGGAAAGTCACTTGCCAAATCAGATGTATTGACCATAATTAACTGTTACTGTACATCTTTAGATTCAAGAAGTATTAACAACCATTTTATCTTTAGTTTCTCACCAAAAAAAAACAAACAAACATTAATTTAAAACAAAAAACACATTTTATGAACAAGTTTTACATAAAGAATAAAAGAGTTATTTGGGTTCTCCCAAGGTTTTATTTCTCCATCCAATCTGATGGAGTTTTGGTTCCTTGCCACTGTCGCCTTGCTTTTGGCTTGCTTAGTTGGGGTTAGTTAATATTTAATATTTAACAATATTATTGATCTGTGTTGTGCTACTTTCATGTTATCAGTGTGAAGCTGCTTTGATACAATCTGTATTGTGAAAAGCGCTATAGAAATAAATGTGACTTGACTTAAACAGCACAAGTAATCACACGCATTTTCTGACAGGGGTTTCATTATTAGATTATCGGAAGGAATGAATTCCTCTTAAATGAGGAATGCTGATGTGTGTGAGAAGAGTTTAGTCTTTCCTCCGGCTGCTGATGAGGAAACCGGCAGTGAATCAGATCAGCTTTGTCTTCGGGAGACTTGTGTGACGTGCAACTGTGGTTTAATCATATCAAATCAAACTGAAGCCACTTGTTGCTGAGTAAAATATATTCTTAGTAACAGTACACAAGTAGGAGTATTAACTTTCAGGCTCATTGCCAGACATGTGGGCGGTTTCATATGGATTCACACGAAGCCTTTTGATGGACTGGCAGCGTGAGTTTGGATCCGCTCGCAGACAGGTGTAACACACACACAGGTGTAACACACACACACACACAGGTGTAACACACACACAGGTGTAACACACACACAGGTGTAACACACACACACACAGGTGTAACACACACACAGGTGTACACACACACACACACAGGTGTAACACACACACAGGTCCACAGGTGTCACACAGGTGTAACACACACACACACACACAGGTGTACACACACACACACACACACAGGTGTAACACACACACACACACACACACAGGTGTAACACACACACACACACAGTGTGTGACGGCCCTTGTCACGGTCTTGCGACCAAAAATATCTCGATAATTCTCTGACAGGGACAGAAGTCAAGCATGATCATCTGTGTGTTTGCTGCCACGACCTCGGTCTTCCGACCAGCCAATAAAAATTGATCAACGCGACATGACGATGAAACTTAAACCGACTCACCTCAAGCTCCACTTGCAAAATGTGTGCCAAGCTGGTCCATACTTTATTTTATACTTTAGTTTATCCATATTTTACTCTTTTTTTCAGCACACATAAACATCACTACCCTAAGTGCGATTCATCTTTCTCTATTTGTTCAGCACTTGCACATGCTAATGATGATTTATTCTTCTATACTAACTTGCGTCGTAGCCTACGGTCCCATAGGTGTCATCATCGCACAGTCTACACACACGTCTTACCCAAGTTTATGAGCTCCATGTCATAAAGTGTGATCTGTAGGATCGTATAGGATTGCCAAAACCACAGTCTGAAGCTGACACAACATGGCTGAAGCTCGTCCTTCTTCGTTTACCTCCAGAAGAACCTTTTACCACCACTCCGCTGAGAGACACGTATCGGGACACATGAAGAAGCCAACGCAAGACAGGACTCTCAACCACTGGACAGAAGTGTTCATGTCAGATAGAGACCCGATGTGGGTTACCAACACGTGTGTGTGTGACTGTGTGTTGTGTTTGGTTTCGTTATTGTGTGTTCTGTAGATTCACTCGAGTTGATTCTGCGTTCACCCCTTACAGACAAATTTCCACAACGAGCCGACGCTAAGGGGAAAATACCATGGAAGTCAATGGTGCTCATTCTCTGTGTGTTCAGCAGAAGAAAGAAACCCATACAGGTTTGGAAAACCTTTTGTTTTTGGGTGAACGATCCCTAGTTATTTCTGCCAGCTGATATAAATTGATTGTAACTCATTATTATTATTTATACATATTTCTCTTTTGAGCAAATTGCTTTAAATAGAAGATTTTTTATCAGTAAGAGTCAGCAGGACAGTGCTCACAGAAGAGACGAGTGCTCAGCTGTTTCACGGTCAGCGATTCGTCTTGGGCTCACGAAGACCTGATCCTCTGATTACACATGATGAAGTCCAGCGAGAACTGAGCAGGCTCTCGACGAGACGTTCCTGATCCAGGTGAAAACCTGCACAACCGTGACCGCGCTCAGATTCAGCAAATATTCTAGTTGCCAGAAATCGTAGTCAATGAATATCTTTAGTAAATCTAGGCTGCAGTGTACACATTCAATACTCATCAATTCATTCACAAACCTCTTTATTTGGCCATCAACTTCCACAACATGTCAATTTGACTATTCTTCAGTTAATATTTGCAGCAGCAATGATTATTTATTATTCATAGCCATTATATATTTACTACACTTTATTTTACTAAAAATGGACATCTTAACACTATTATTAAATACATTATTATTTACACATTAGTATAAAATATCAATTCACTTCATTTTTATAAAAAAAGAAAAACAAATCAAACAATTCTCTCTCAGCATCAGTTTAAAGTGATCATGCGGTTATATCCAAAATAAATTAGGAAAAATTGTGTTCAACTATTTCAAAAGACCATTAAAATGGGCAGCATGTATTTACTTAGTAAAGATGGCACATATTTGCCTCATAGTGAGTCCAGCACTACTCAAACTGTGTGTTCCCTTATCCGTTCTCCAGCTGGGTTTGTGTGTGTTATTAGTTTGAATAGAGTGTGTCTCTGGTGTGATATGTGTGTGTGTGTGTGTGTGTGTGTGTGTGTACGGCTCAGCGCTGGCCTGTGAGCAAGTGAATACCCAGACCAGCTCTTTTTAAAATGTGTTCACACAAAGTAGGCTTTGTCTGTGTGAGCCAGTGCACACACACACACACACACACACACACACACACACACACACACACAGAAGGGTTCAGTCCTCCTTCACATTATTGTTCGAATGTCGGTCAAGTCTTTCAGGTTTGCTGGGTAAGAGGATCACAGCCAGAATACTGATGACATGCACATGAAAGTACATCGATCTGAAGGAGAGAAGAAACCATGAGATAAACATTACCAGCTCAAACAACATCTCGAAAGTGATATCATCCAACAACATTAAAGATAAAAACGTTTAGAAAAGTTATTTCTAAAAAAAAAAAAAACATTTACTCCTGTGGTAGAAAATGTTGTGGCACTAAGATGAAGTGGGCCCGTGGGTTTGCTATAGCCCGGTGTGTTCTTGATCTGGGCCAATAAAGACATATTTATAACTAATAATAATCATATATTTTTTCGTTTGAGCTAATTGCAAGAGAACAGATATCGGATGATGTTTACAGTACAGCTGTTGTGCGGCAGGCGAAGGCTCCCTCCTGGTTCTGGTCTGTTCAGCCTGAGTGGGCTTATTGCTGCTCTCCCGGCTCTAAACAGAACCATTACGCCAAACCAAACCGCATGCTAATTGTCAATCATCTGTGACGATAGTTGTCCTGACAGAACTCATTTTAAATATTGTCTAGATAAGACCTTCCCTTCTTCATGGCCAGTTCTTGACCAGAACAAGCTGCAATGTGGACCAGATTTCAGACTACCCAAACTGAGACTGTACCTGTAATACTGCATGCTGGGTTTGATGGCCAGCAGAAGGAAAGGCATGACCGTGTAGCAGATGGCCATCTGAGTGGCAGCCCAGGTCACAACATCGTAGCAGATCTTGAGCCGGCGAGAAGACAAGAAATACTCCCGGAAGTTTCTGCGCACCTGATTACATCAAACCAGAACAGGAGGCAATAGTGAGCGAGTGGCTGACAATGAGGAGCAATCAAGGTATTTCGACACTGAATAAACTTTAACTGACAAAGCTAACAAAAATCCCTTGCAGGCACAAACACTGGTAAGAGGACAACAAGGCAAATCTTTTTATTTTGATGATTTATCTGGTAAGATTTCAGAAAGACAGCATGTTGAGTATTCAATGTTAATGTTTTGTCGATTATTCTCGTAAGCAGCACAGTCTTAAATTAAAGTCTTAAAGGGTTAGTTCACCCAAAAATGAAAATTCTGTCAGTATTTCCTCACCCTCATGTTGTTCCAACCCCGTAAGACCTTCGTTCATCTTCGCAACACAAATTAAGATATTTAAGATATTAAGATCGCTCCTGCATACTAGTCCATAGGCTTCTTGAGGGAATGACTCGAAAAGTCATTAAAGACATCGTTAAAATAGTCCAAGTGACTACAGGGGCTCAATCTTAACTTTATCAAACGACGAGAACACTTTTGTGCGCAAAAACAACAAAAATAACGACTTTATTTCAACTATTCACTTCCTTCTCCATGGGCCTGTAGTCAGTTAGCGTAGTGTGATTGCGTAGAGCTACGTCACACGAAGGCTCACTATTGGCCGACGCTGGTCATGTGTGTGATGCGTGTGACGTACAATAACAGAAGCTTACGCTATTAAACTAGTAACCTGACTCGCGCAGAGGGAGAAATAAACCAATAGTTGAAATAAAGTCGTTATTTTTGTTGTTTTTTTGCGCACAAAAGTGTTCTCGTCGTTTGATAAAGTTAAGATTGAGCCCCTGTAGTCACTTGGACTATTTTAACGATGTCTTTAATGACTTTTCGGGGACAGCAAGAGTCATTCCCTCAAGAAGCCTATGGACTGTATGCAGGAGCGATCTTAATATCTTAAATATCTTAATTTGTGTTGCGAAGATGAACGAAGGTCTTACGGGGTTGGAACAACATGAGGGTGAGGAAATACTGACAGAATTTTCATTTTTGGGTGAACTAACCCTTTAATGAACATAAATAACTGTGAGAAAATGGGATGCTTGTCAGATACGCGTCGTGCAGAAGTGAAAAGCAGCCTTATAAACCTGTGTGTGTGTGAGAGACTCACAGTGCGAGCTGCTAAGGTGATGGGTATAGCGGTGATGAATGTAAAGTAGTATCCGGGGTAAACTCCATGCCAGATCGCCGACAGCACGAATGTGAGAGGCATGCGGTGAAACGGGGCTCGATCGTGACACACACTGGAGCGTAACAGATGACAGCATGAGAGACGTGACACTGAACTGACAGATGCTGACACACACACACACGAGATCAGAGTTGGCAACGTCTTGATTTTTTTGTGTTTTCCCACAAATTTTGTATGTATGCAAATTGTATAATATAAGGTACACGTTTCTAGTGATTGTGCAGTTAATTATCATAATGTTTTTTCAGAAAGTTTTGGAATATTTTCCCTCTCCCCAATTTTGTCACCAATGAAACACAATAATAAATAATTAGACCATAATAAGAGAAACTCCTCCTTCTCTTGACTGGTTTAGGGGACACAATCTGCACTGGTTCCAATAACAATTTCATGTCAATAGAACACATGATCAGTTGACTAATATATAAATATAACATTTAAAACTAACCGTTTTAGCCAAAGAGCAGTCTGTATATTCCAGTTGTCGATAAATGATTTAAAACTTGTTGCTGTCTGCAAACAGAGAACAGATTTGTTTGATAATGAGATCCACAGCCCTTCTGTGGCAGTCGTGAATGCAGTGAACACACCTCAATCTCCCAGATGTGGACGTTGGAGACCAGGTCCCAGGACACTTCTCCTCTCGCGTTCACACCACTGACTCCAAACCCCGCTGCATTGTGGACCGCATCCGCTGGAAGAGGAAAAAACACGCATTTACTGTACAGCACTAGTCCTTTTACCCACACTAACACATTTCCAATCATTCATTAGTGGATTTGTAAGCCTAACGCTTTTTCAAAATAACATTTAAATGATTATCCTTAAAGGGATAGTTCCCTTTGAAATTAATTTTTGATATGTTTCATCTTACCTCAAGGGCATCCAAGATGTAGGTGTCTTTGTTTCCACAGTATTTTCAATTTTGATATTTTTAGGTCAAACCGTTCTTGTCTGTCAGTCATGTAATAGAGGTCTATGGTCACCACCTCAAAGAGCAGCACAGAGAAGTCCAGATTAAACATGATTTAATGACTCATGTCATGTTCCTAAGACACGAAACGAGCGGTTTGTGTGAAAAAACGAACAGTATTTATGTCGTTTTTACCTTGTGTAACCACAGCCACATCCAACTGATCTGAGGGCGCGGGTGCTTCGATCTGCGCAAGCGCTTGGAAGTGATCTCTCGCGCGTCTACGTCACTCATTGTTTACGCAGAGATTTCAGAAGTCTTACCCTTCACTATGAAGATCTAAACATATTTAGATATACAGGAAATCGCAATGGAAGATGATTTCAATATATCACGGTTTTTCGCAACCGTGCGAGAGATCACTTCCGGCGCAGACCGAAGCGCCCGCAACCTCAGATCAGTTGGATGTGGCTGTGATTACACGAGGTAAAAACGATATAAATACTGTTCATTTTCTCACACAAACCGCTCGTTTCGTGTCTTAGTCCATCAATGTGTACTTACATTTACGAGTCATTAAATCATGTTTAATCTGGACTTCTCTGTGCTGCTCTTTGAGGTGGTGACCATAGACCTCCATTATATGACTGACAGACAAGAACGGTTTGACCTAAATATATCAAAATTGAAAATACTGTGGAAACAAAGACACCTAAATCTTGGATGCCCTTGAGGTAAGCTAAAACATATCAAAAATTAATTTCAAAGTGAGCTATCCCTATAATAGCATACCGTTGTGCTCTACACTAACTCACAGTATCTCCTATCCTTGCGTAATACGTGTAACCCATCTGTGTGAACATCCTTATCTGATGCCGTTGGTTTGGACTGAACTATCATTTGTTTGTCCGACCAATGACAGAAAACCAGGGAGAACCTTTTTTACATGATTAGTTTTGTAATTCCATGTTGTGATGCTAGTGATACAGAAATGACAGGCTTCTTCTTTACCACATTATTTTACATTTAAAAGGATGTGCCATTGTGCTCTATGACTATAGGACCCCAGGTATCTGCCATTTGACTGTACGTTTACTTTGAACATTTTGGAACAGACCCATGTTTTTCTGCCAACAATACAGCTCTGAAACATCGAGTCGCTTTCAGCCAATCCCACGGCCACGGGCTCCTGTCCGCCGGGTCTGCTTACCGAGGGTCCATGCGAAGTAGAACTTGGGTCTGGCGGCCTGGATGGAGATCAGCGCGTAGGCCAATCGGGTCACGAAAGAGGCGTCGCTGACGAACTGCGGGTCCACGTTGTACGATATGGGGAACGCTTTGGTGATGATGAAGAACCAGAGCAGACAGCAGACGCACACGAGGAGCTTATTAACCACAGTCCTCTGTAGAAGAACAGCAGGAATCATCTCAGGGGTGTTCAATCACCATAAAACTGTCGAAGCATTGATTATTCGATCCTCACAACATTATTACACAACATAAACATGCCACAAATGAATCAAAGCACACACGTAAATGGATATTTCACCTAGCAATGCATATTCTGACGTCTCATACTCGCGCTCATGTGCTTCTAAACCCAACTTTTTTGCTTCATTGGAATACAAAAGGAGTTTATCAGAATGTAAAAGCGGCTCATTTCCATACAATGAGGCATGGGCCCGTCAAGCTTTGAGAAAAAAGTACAATAAAATAAAATGTTTTTGTTTTAATCGCATGACGGTTTTACTTTTAATGAAGGCAGAGTTTAATTGTTGGGTGAAGTTCAGTTCTACACCTCCCACACACACACACACACACACACCGGCCTAGTCCATGCTGTTCTAACTGAACGGATCTCTCTTATTCTGTTTGTGAGTTGATGTGTTCGCCTGAGTCCTGTGTGCATGTATTTCTGAAGCTCTGTTTGTCTCACCACAGGCGACGGCTCAGGCACTTTATCCCCGCCGTTCTGCCGTGAACCGCTGTCTCGGACTCGCTTCACATGCCGGCCCCGGATGAACTCAGTGTAGTCTTTATAGAGACAACAAGGGCCCACCAAGATACTCAGGAAGTTTATATTGTAGCTCAGATACTCCAACAGAGACGGGCGCGAGCTGTAGATGGAGAAAACATGCGGTCAGTGGAGAACAACATGACTTATCTCAGCGAATGAAAAGCTGATCCCTGTTTTAGTCACAAACATGATCTGATTCTGTGGGGTGAAGCTGTCATTCCCAAAACAAATGCATGAGGATGACATCTGGTTCATATTTGGGTTACAAGAGTTACAGTGGCTTGCAAAAGTATTCAGCATTTTTTTTTTTTCATTTGATCATGCCGAAATCGGTTGTAATCGCTGTCAAACGTGATTCTACTAAGTCCTGCGTTATGAGTCGGAGTTTTTTTTAATAAAATTGTAAACTTATCACAAATAACGGTGTCTTTATGGGGAATGGAGTGTAAACTGATGACTTTTCGCCATTTCTGCCATGAGTAACCACTCAATATTCGTAAATGTTAGCAGAGATTTTCCCAGTAAGATACAGATCCTGCTGAGAATGGAAAAGTCATACCGGACTGCCAGATGCCTCTGATCGTCTGTAAGTTCCTCTTGCTTTCGACTCATCCCTGAAACACGCAGGAAGACATGAGTCATGTTTTCTGAAATTATCAATTGAATTATTTTCTAAGATAACAATTTATAGCAACAAATTCACAAAAGATTGCACCACTGATTTCTCACCATCATGCACCTGAAAGGCAAGAGTAGTGACCTTCTGTGTTATTATCATCAAAGGCCTGAAAACAAGAGGAGACACATTAAACATCCTGATTAAGATTTATAATTAAGAGAAACAGTGTTTACAGAGGTCTACATAAGCAGAGGGGTTAGCGTACAGGCTAATGTTCACAGCGAGGCTAACAGTCAGCAACTAAAAGAGAAAGACTGACAGTAGTGATGATTTGCAGTGAATCAGATGTTGATTCAGTAACCGCTCTGACTGATTGACTTCTTTGAAAACGTGAATACAGTAACGTGAGTGAAAATAAACCATTATAGAACTGAGTTCAGGGATTTCTTTTACATGAACCGTGTTTTTGCTCCACAGTCATGCACAGGCCGAGCACAGCCGTCCAAACTATTACAGCCAATTAGACTTCTGTGTAAACCAGCGTGTTAGAAGTTAAAAACAAATAATATTGCTAATTGCTAAATTGCTAACCCTAACCCTAAGTGTCTGCACTGTTAGATACTCCAACCTCTAAATGTGACACTGGTCTTTGTGTTTGTCAGCTGACCTCAGCCATGTGATTTTGCTCAGAGAAACAAGTAGTCTGTAACGTTTTTAGCGATACTGGTCAAAAAACCAAATATGCAAATTAGTGATTCAAACATCAATTTAATAAAAGCATATGATGGTTTGTTTGTGCAGAAGACATCAGGACTTGATGCTGATTGGCAGCATTTGTTTTCTGTTTACATTTTATTTTGTCATTCCATTTACGTTGAACGTCAGCCACTTCCTGCCTCCTCCTCCTCGTCTACACAAGGGACTTTGTTACAATCACATTTAAAGAAAGAAAAGAGACGTGAGCGAGGCACTGACAGCCTGAGAGCATGTTATCTCTCCTCTTGTTTATCCAAGGGTGTGTACTAAATCTCAGCAAAGGAAAACTGGCTAAACTGGTTGATAAGAAACTAAGTCGAGCCTCGAGGAGTGGCCACATCACAGAAACCAGAGCGTACGGCATCTAGTGTGACCCCGGCGTGTGTTTCGATGTTGACAGGTGAGAGCATTCAAACTGCAGAATGTTCATCTTTGCTGTGCTACTGATCAAAATAACACAAACACATATATTACAAATGCCCTTACCCTGAGAAATCTGTGGACAGGATCCCATAGTCGAATATGAAGACTCTGCTCACTTGACAAAGCGTGAGGTATCCGAGCGAGGCAATCAGAGTATATCTGTAATGAGAACACCTATAAATTCAGTGCTGAGAAGTGTGTGAGCAAGCATGCTGAACTTATGGATTTCCACAGACTGGTAAAGGATAAACTGAATATGGTTCAGTATATGAAGAGTTCAGATGCAAAAGCCTCTAAATGCCATTTGAAATTTTCTTCTAGAATGATCGTTTTTATCAAGCTTGTATATTTAAGTTCAGTAATTTCACTTAAATGACAATTCATAGGTAATCTTCATCCCCATTTAAGTGAAATGAATGAACTTAAATATACTAGCTTGATAAAAATGATCATTCTAGAAGAACATTTCAAATGGCACTAAGAGGCTTTTGCATCTGAACTCTTCATATAGTGACTGGTTCTCCTCTTATCTGACAGGGAGGCAACAATTTGTTGTATTCCAGAAGCACAAATCCTCCATCAGATCTGTCAGCTCTGGTGTACCTCAGCCCTCTTCTTATCAGTTTACATGCTACCAATTGGACAAATTATTCTAGTTTATTCAAGTTTAAAAAGGCAAGTATTTTTCCTCTACATATTGTACAAACAAATATAAAGACATTTTATACTGTGTAAAATAAAAAAGCATTTTTATTAATGTATGTTTAAATGTAATTCCAGTTCATAAAAATATTTTAATAGTTAATATAATTATTTAAAACTTGACCAGTGGGTTGAAACAAGACCGATTAAAGGTATAAGTAAAGTGTGTGTTGAGACAAATCTGTGGTTTCTGTAATGACGAGAAATCTGTAGTTTTGCAAGATCCAAACAAATAAACAAACAATAAATAAATAAGAAAAAACACAATACTATAATTATGTTGGACAAGGATTGGTGTAGACTGTGGCCCTCCCTTCAGAGCGTCTCCAAAGCCACGCCTCTTCCAAAGCCACGCCTCTTTCAAAGCCACGCCTTCAAAGCATGCCTCCTCCTCCTCCTAAGCCACACCTCCTCCAAAGCTACACCTCATCTAAAGCCACGCCTCCAAAGCCTCACCTCCTCCAAAGCACATGGACGCGCGCAGTAGAGTACGGTCACGAGACGAGAGGCGGCGTTAAACTACCTCATGTAGTGAAGCACAAAACATTACAATAATAAAGAACATAAGCATCTTATAGAGCTCTGACCTGTCTCTCCTTTCACACTGAATTCATTGATTGGACGTACATTTTATGGTCCTACACCACCTTGCACAGACGATACAGATTTATACTGGGCTCAGTGGAATACTGGATTCTGATTGGTCAAATGCTCCATCCAGCGGTATATTATTCCCAGATAACAACAGAACACAGAAACACAGGCTCATCCGGGTTACTGAAGTCAGCAGCGCTAGGAACGGGTTTTCTTCGTGGAAGTTTTGCATTTGGTGAGTTAATAAAATATTAAAATATTTAAACAGTTATTTAATTATGACATCCAGTATCGTGGACTCGCTCTCTCTCTTGTTTCATACAAACGTGGCGACGGCCATTTTGTGATTACTGTTTTGTACAATGTTTGATTATAAAATACGAGAGAGATGAAACTACTCTCTCAGCGGAAGCTTTGCTTTTAAAGAGCTAATAAAATATTTCAACTCAGATCAATATTTCATGTCTCATTATTTATTGATGTGGCAAGTGTCCATGTAATAAGTGGAATAATGTACATCTAGTTGGTTGTTATCTCAGAATAAACCCCTTCAGGCGTGTGTGTGAGTGATCTCAGAATAAACAATCTTCGTGTGTGTGTGTGTGTGTGTGTGTGTGTGTGAGTGATCTCAGAATAAACCCCCTTGATCCTGATCACCCTGTCAGGTTTATTCTGAGATAACAACCGGCTGAATGTACATTATCCCTCACCTGGACCACTAAACTTGTTGATTGCTATCAGGATGTGAAGCATATATACTGCTCACCTGTGAAGATTGTGGACACTGGCTGTGATCATTATACCATAACAAGCCAAGACCAGCAGGAAGACATGCACAGCATACCTGTCACAGCGAGAACATGCTGAACATCTGATCACAGGACACCTCAGTTCACTAACACACGTACACACATGACAGACAGACAGATATATATATATATATATATATATATATAGAGAGAGAGAGAGAGAGAGAGAGAGAGTATGGAAAACCCCAATAAAAAAAGTAGTGATTTTTAAATGCATTTTGACATGTATTTCATTGCAATACAACAATACAACAGCACATCATTTAATGTGTTCCTCATAATTTTTATTGTTCAATATATATATATATATATATATATATATATATATTTTTTTTTTTTTTTTTTTTTTTTTCTTGCAACATATTTTAAAAAGTTGGAACAGTAAAGCATTTACCACTTGTAATGTTGCCATTCCTTTCCACAATACTTAAAAAAAGTTTATGGACTGAAGACATCAAGTGGAAGTGTTTCAGGTGTAGTTTTGTCCCATTCTTGCTGCAAACAAGTCTTAAGGTGGGCAACAGTTGGGGTCTTTTGCGCTTCAAAATGCGTCACACATTCTCTATTGGAGACAGGTCAGGACTGCAGGCAGTCAGTCAAGTCCCCGTATCCTTTTCCTCCGCAGCCAGAACTTTGTAATGTGTGTTTTACATTAATTTGTTGAAATATGCATGTACAGCCCTGGAAAAAATGTCTTCTTGAAGGCAGCATATTGTGCTACAAAATCTCTATGTACTTTTCAGCATTAATGGTGCCATCACAGAGCACTGACACAACTCCATAGCATGCCAGATCCTGGCTTTAGGACTTGTTGCTGGTAACAGTCTGGATGATTCTGTTCTTCTTTGGTCAGGAGCACACGGCCTAGCTTAACCCATTTCTCCCCAAAAACACCTGACATAATGATTCATCTGACCACAGTAGTCAAGTCAAGTCACCTTTATTTCTATAGCGCTTTTTACAATTCAGATTGTATCTAAGCAGCTTCGCAGTGATAACATGAAAATAATACAACACAGATCAATAATATTGTTGAATATTAAATGTCCCCAACTAAGCAAACCAAAAGCAAGGCAACAGTGGCAAGGAACCAAAACTCCATCAGGTGATTGAATGGAGAAAAACCCTTGGGAGAACCCAGACTCAGTCGGGGGCCGGTTCTCCTCTGGCCAAACAAAAGAACATTAAGAGAATTTGTCCATTTCCATCTGTTTGGAAGTCGGAGTAATCACGCCGGTTTGGAGACGAGATGTTGAGGATCAGTACCGATGGCTGTCGTGTCGATGAGGCCGGCGCTTAAGGATGAGTCGGGATCAGGATTTACGGGACGTGTTCCTGGTTTCGGCTGATCTAAACTATGCAGCCTAATTTTGAATTAAGGAAGGCTATAGTGTGTTATGTGTATGCTAGGCCAGAGAGATGTGTGTTTAGTCTAGATTTGAACTGACAGAGTGTGTCTGCTTCACGAACAATGTTTGGAAGATTGTTCCAGAGTTTCGGTGCTAAATAGGAAAAGGATCTCCCGCCTGCAGTCGATTTCGATATTCTAGGTATTATCAACTGGCCGGAGTTTCGAGATCGCAATAGACGTGAAGGACTATAATGCGTTAAGAGCTCGCTCAAGTACTGGAGATAAACCATTTAGTGCTTTATAAGTAATCAGCAATATTTTAAAATGTATACGATGTTTAATAGGCAGCCAATGCAGGGTTGACAGAACCGGGCTAATATGGTCAATCTTCCTGGTTCTGGTAAGAACTGGAGCGGCTGCGTTTTGGACTAGCTTTGTTTATTAAGGGTGCAGGGCAAACACCCAGTAGAGCATTACAGTCATCTAGCCTTGATGTCATGAACGCATGAACTAATTGTTCCACATTTGTCAATGAGAGCATATGGCGTAATTTAGGGAAGGGGCGTCTCCACCCTGGGCTCCCGATGGGACGTCTCCGCCCTGGCCTCCCGAAGGGGCGTCTCCACCCTGGCCTCCCGAAGGGGCGTCTCCACCCTGGCCTCCCGAAGGGGCGTCTCCGCCCTGGCCTCCCGAAGGGGCGTCTCCGCCCTGGCCTCCCGAAGGGACGTCTCCGCCCTGGCCTCCCGAAGGGGCGTCTCCGCCCTGGCCTCCCGAAGGGGCGTCTCCGCCCTGGCCTCCCGATGGGACGTCTCCGCCCTGGCCTCCCGAAGGGGCGTCTCCACCCTGGCCTCCCGAAGGGGCGTCTCCGCCCTGGCCTCCCGAAGGGACGTCTCCGCCCTGGCCTCCCGAAGGGGCGTCTCCGCCCTGGCCTCCCGATGGGACGTCTCCGCCCTGGCCTCCCGAAGGGGCGTCTCCGCCCTGGCCTCCCGAAGGGCGTCTCCGCCCTGGCCTCCCGAAGGGGCGTCTCCACCCTGGCCTCCCGAAGGGGCGTCTCCGCCCTGGCCTCCCGAAGGGGCGTCTCCACCCTGGCCTCCCGAAGGGGCGTCTCCGCCCTGGCCTCCCGAAGGGGCGTCTCCGCCCTGGCCTCCCGAAGGGGCGTCTCCGCCCTGGCCTCCCGATGGGACGTCTCCGCCCTGGCCTCCCGAAGGGGCGTCTCCGCCCTGGCCTCCCGAAGGGGCGTCTCCGCCCTGGCCGCCCGAAGGGGCGTCTCCACCCTGGCCTCCCGAAGGGGCGTCTCCACCCTGGCCTCCCGAAGGGGCGTCTCCACCCTGGCCTCCCGAAGGGGCGTCTCCACCCTGGCCTCCCGAAGGGGCGTCTCCGCCCTGGCCTCCCGAAGGGGCGTCTCCGCCCTGGCCTCCCGATGGGACGTCTCCACCCTGGCCTCCCGAAGGGGCGTCTCCGCCCTGGCCTCCCGAAGGGGCGTCTCCGCCCTGGCCTCCCGAAGGGACGTCTCCGCCCTGGCCGCCCGAAGGGGCGTCTCCACCCTGGCCTCCCGAAGGGGCGTCTCCGCCCTGGCCTCCCGAAGGGGCGTCTCCGCCCTGGCCTCCCGAAGGGGCGTCTCCGCCCTGGCCTCCCGAAGGGGCGTCTCCGCCCTGGCCTCCCGAAGGGGCGTCTCCGCCCTGGCCTCCCGAAGGGGCGTCTCCGCCCTGGCCTCCCGATGGGACGTCTCCGCCCTGGCCTCCCGAAGGGCCGTCTCCGCCCTGGCCTCCCGAAGGGACGTCTCCGCCCTGGCCGCCCGAAGGGGCGTCTCCACCCTGGCCTCCCGAAGGGGCGTCTCCACCCTGGCCTCCCGAAGGGGCGTCTCCACCCTGGCCTCCCGAAGGGGCGTCTCCACCCTGGCCTCCCGAAGGGGCGTCTCCACCCTGGCCTCCCGAAGGGGCGTCTCCACCCTGGCCTCCCGAAGGGGCGTCTCCGCCCTGGCCTCCCGAAGGGACGTCTCCACCCTGGCCTCCCGATGGGACGTCTCCACCCTGGCCTCCCGATGGGACGTCTCCACCCTGGCCTCCTGAAGGGGCGTCTCCACCCTGGCCTCCCGATGGGACGTCTCCACCCTGGCCTCCCGATGGGACGTCTCCACCCTGGCCCCCTACGCTACCTGATCCCCTACGCCCTCCCACCCCTATTGATGTTATACGGCACAAGGATGCGCCTTTTTGGAGGGGGCGTTATGTTACATGTGTGTCCTGAGTTACCCCCGTCACTGTGTATTGGTATCAGTCCTGTTTCTATTTTCCCGCTCCTCGTTTGTATTCAGTCCCTTCACCTGTGTTAGGTTAATTTGCCCCAGCTGTGCCTTGATCCCCTAGTCTGTTCTAGTGTATTTAAACCCTGTGTTCTCCTAACTCTTGGTCCATTCTCGTTTATGTAAAGTTTGATATTGTGGTTCCTTAGTTTTGTTCATTAAAGATCCTGTTTTCTGTTATTCCTCGTCTCTTTGTGCTTCCAGTACCACGATACCGTAACCGAATCTCTGTGGTCTTTATATGTTATGATGTTCCATTTCAATTCGTTTGGTGGGCACGTAACAAAATCACATCAGTATTTAACCAATTTACCTGATTAATAGCCCTAAATTGCTCCTGTCCCAACCTTTTTTGGAATGTGTTGCAGGTCTGAATGACAGGAAAGGATGTATAATTACAAATGAAATGTTTTGTGATCACATTGTCTGCAATGAAATAAAAGTCAAAGTACATTTAGAAATCACTCCTTTCTGTTTTTATTTGTGTTTTCCATACTGTCCCAACCCTTTTCTGATTTGGGGTTGTGTGTATATATATATACATACAGACACTCACCTAAAGGATTATTAGGAACACCATGCTAATACTGTGTTTGACCCCCTTTCGCCTTCAGAACTGCCTTAATTCTCCGTGGCGTTGATTCAACAAGGCGCTGAAAGGAATTCTTCTTTAGAAATGTTGGCTCATATTGATAGGATAGCATCTTGCAGTTGATGGAGATTTGTGGGATGAAGCTCCCATTCCACCACATCCCAAAGATGGTCTATTGGGTTGAGATCTGGTGACTGTGTGTAGAGTTCTCAACGGGTCGGGTCAGCCCAACAAACCCAACAGGACCCGTGGGTGCCAGATCATTTTTAACGCAGGTGTTGAGGGGGTGCTAGATCATTGACAGGATGTGCACCAGTTCACGTGCGATGCAATCGCGCCCGCGAATCCATATCATGTTTATAATGTCTGCAATATTTGCTTCTTGTTTATTATATCCAGGAAATTGGTTGATGAAAAATCGATTAAAATTAAGATACAATTTATACAAAATGAAATTCACTTTAAGGAAAGGCTTTAAGGAAAAACTTAATTTAGTGGTCAAAATCATGTCTGACGCATCATATATCTTTCTTAAATTTTCATAATCAGCATATATATATTTATAAAGCGGTTATTTCGAATCCTTGATTCTGATTGGTCAAGAGCAGTGCTTTATACACAATAAAACACGGCTATGACCGCTTCACCCAACGGTTCTATTGATCGCTGCACGATGAGTTGTTTGTCTATCGGACGTGTCATTAGTGGACGTCTAGCCACGGCACGATTATCTCGCCAGTTTAGGACATCGCACAAGATTTGCGTCAATACAGAAAACATTTAATCACTG